TTGATTATTTTTCTTCTTTCTACTCTCTTTCTTTAGGCCCAAGTATTTTTCCTGGTTTAATTCTCATTCTCTCTCTTTCTCTTCACTCTCTCATCTCCAGTTTATAATTTCAATTGTTTATTCTTTCTTATTGTTTTAAGATTGAATTGTAGTTTCTTAAATACTGATAACTTCACAAGACATCATCTCAGCTGAGAACTTTGCCTCATATTTTATAGAAAAAATGAGGTCATTCACTGTGAATTCCCTCTTCTCCTCTCTTCCTCATCTCCTACCACTTAGATACTGTCTGCCACTTTCTCCTCCTTTACCCATTTCACATGATGAAGTGACTTCATTTCTTCCCAAGGCTTACTCCTTACCTCTATTTGTTCAAGTGATCCCATCCCATTCTAGCTCCTCCAACAAACTGCCCCCTCTGTGATGCTCACTTTCACTTATTTTCAGTATTTTCCACTGTACAGGCTCATTTCCTACTGCCTACAACCCCATCTCTCCCCTATCCTCAAAAAACCTTCTATCCCTGCTAGCTATCATACTGTATCTCTTCTGCATTTATAATATATATATTGACATATATAATAGGAACCTATACTTTCTCTCCTCTCACTCTCTTCTGCATCCTTGACAACCTGATTTGGGATTTTATTATTCCACTGAAACTGCTCTTTCCAATGATCTCTTAGTTGCCAAATCCAATGGCTTTTTCTCAGTCTTTGTTCTCCTTGACCTCTGCGGCCTTTGACACTGGATCACTCTCTGCTTGATCCTCTCTTTTCTCTACTGTTTCAGAACACCATTCTCTCCTGGTTTTCTTCCTATATCTCTGATAGCTCCTTTTCTCTCTCTCCCCTTTGCTGGCTCCTCCTCCAGATCATGCCCTCTAGCCATAGGTATCCCTCAGGGTTCTGGGCCCTCTTCTCTTCTTCCTCTATACTACTTCACTTGATGATCTCATCAGCTTCCATGGATTTAATTACTATGCTGATGCAGCTAGGTGGTAAGTGGATAGAATACCAGCCCTGGAGTCAGGAAGACCTGAGTTCAAATCCAATCTTGGATACTTACTGTGTGACCATGATCAAGTCACTTAACCCTATTTGCCTCAGTTTCCTCATCTGTAAAATGAGCTGGAGAAGGAAGTGGCAAACCACTCCAGTATCTTTGCCAAGAAAACCCCAAAAGGGCTCACAAAAAGTCAGGCATGATTGAAAATGACTAAAAGAAACAATGCTGATGATTTTCAAATCTATATGTCCTGAACTCCAATCTTGCATCTCCAGCTGCCTTTTAGGCATCCTGAACTGGATATCAATAGACATCTTAAAGTCAATATGTCTAAAACAAAACTTATTATCTTTCTCCCCTAAACTTTCCCCTTTTACCTTTCATACTACTATTAAGGGCGACACCCTTGTCCCAATCCCTTGGGTTCACCACCTAGGAGTCATCCTAGACTCCCCATTATCTCTCATTGCCCATATCCAAGCTGTTGCAAAGGCCTGTTGATTTCACCTTTGTAACATGTCTTGAAAGGGCTCCTTTCCCTCTGACACTGCCACCACTCTGGGGCAGGCCTCCTGCTTTGATTACAGTAGACTGTCTATTGTATAGACCGGTTGGTCTGCCTGCCTCAAGTCTCTCCCTATTGCAATCCATCCTCTATTCAGTCACTAAGGTGATTTTCCTAAAGCCCAGGTCCAATCATGTCATCCCTCCCCTCCCCTCCCCTACTCAATAAACTTTCATGACTTTCTATTGCCTCCAAGAACAAATACAAAATGCTCTGTTTGTCATTCAAAGCTCTTCATAACCTAGCACCTCCTACCTTTCCAGTCTTCTTACACGTACTCTCCAACATGTACTCTTTAATCCAGTGACACTAGCCTCCTGGCTGTTCCATGAGCATGATATTCCATCTCTCAATGCTGGGCATTTTCTCTGGCTGTCCTCTGTGTCTGGAATGTTCTACCTCCTCCACTGCAACTACTGATATCCCTGGCTTCTTGTAAGGCCCAACTAAAATTCTACCTTCTATAGGAAGCCTTCCCAAACCCCTCTTAATTCTAATGCATTCCCTCTTTTAATTATTGCATATTTATTCTGTATATAGTTCGGTTTGTAGATATTTGTTTGCATGTTGTCTTCCTCCCATTAGATTGTAAGCTTTTTGTGGGCAGGGACCATCTTTTGCTTCTTTTTGCAATCCCAGCATTTAGTGCGATGCCTGGCACAAAGTAGATATTTAATAAATCTTGATTAATTGATTACAAGGATTTCTATTTCACAAGAGGGATGGAAGAGTGTTGCTAAGGATTTTCTTTTCCATTTATCTCAAATACGATTCTTCCTTCCTCTTTGAACACGCACACACATACATACACTAGGATACTTTTTTGGTGATAATTAAGAACACCTTTTCCTTATTTCCTCCTATTGTCCTCTCCTACCCTCTACTGGAATCCATCCATTTCCTACATTGATTTGAAGGAAGGTTTTGAGATGACTGTTTTTAAGTCCACTGCCTCCTGTGTTTTCTTGCCTTACCTCTAGAGCCCAAATGTTACAGTAAAGCATAAATTGCACCCTAAGCTTTACAGGGATGAAAGTTGTCTAGTCAGCAGTTTGGGGTCTGGCAAGACGGTTAGTGCCCATCACTTCTCCTCCCCAGAACTCAGTTTCTTTGTATGTGTAAAATGAATGAATTAGAGTAGATGCTCTCTCAGGACTCTCCCAATTCTACATCAATCATGTTTAACCATCTTTTATCAGTTTTCAAGTCTTTTAAGCATTTCTTAAGTATTTTGTACGACTTAGCTGGTACCTTTATTAAAAGTGTCAGTCTGTTAATTCACTTCAGCATCTTTCTGTGAAGTCAATTATCTTTCCAAATGCTCAGTTTCCCTTTGGTGGCATAGCAAAACAGTTGGCCTTTCTTTCCAGGATTATCTTTGTGCTCCACGCTATTTTGTGGATTGATAGAAAGTGATTTGACTGCTAGAGCTGAGGGAGAGAGAATTTTAAGCCACCATTTTTTGGGGAGAGGAAACATGAATGATAAAAATATATTTGGGAGACATAAGGTCCTTGAGGACAAGAAATGCCTTGCTTTTGTTTTTATATTCCTTGTAATTAGCACAGTGCTTGGCACAGTGGGTGCCTAATAAATGCTTGTCAAATCAAGGTGAAATTAACTAGCTTGTGTGTCATGCAACTGGTGTTTGTTGTTTTTCTTGGCTCCAGTCTTAGAATCCTGCTGTTTGAGGGATGGAGCCAAAGCACAGATAAACCTTTCAGAGAGTGTTCAAGTTTTCTGAGTGATTTATGAGGAAGAAGGAATATACCATAAATTCTTAAATAAAGACATCAAGGGAGCATGACAACTTTTATAAGAAGATAAATATAGAGTCTTCATTTTATCCTTTTACAAGAAGTTTGACTAATTGGAATACTTTTAAATATCTGGATTTGATGGAGACCATGTGGAATCTAAGACAGTCCCAACTTTTACTCTCTTTTTCTTTGTCTGTTTTCCCCACTAACTTATGATTAAAAAAAAAAACCCAACCCACAAGATTTCTTATTTCACCCTAGAGGAAAAAGCTAACTCATAGAAGCAGCTGAGTACATCTTTCAGTTTAACTTGTCTTTCTAAACAGAGCTTAATAATAATAATAATAATAATAATAATAATAATAAATAATAATAGTCTGCTTAAAATAGCTTAGAATATTCCATTTTAAAATTTTGAATAAAAGTTTTATTTCTGAAATGGAGTTTTAGGCAATTGGATTAGAATTTATGTTTCAGAAGTAGGACATGATTTTTTTGTGTCAGTCTATATGAGAAGGTGTAGACGTCAGTCAATAAGCATTTATTAAGTGCCTGTTATGTGCCAGACGCTCTCTGTTTCATGGGGGAATATTTCTGATCTACTAGAGAACTAATTTCTTCAGCTCCTCAAACTTTATTTTCTTTTTTCCCTTCTCTCAAAATATATAAGTAAATATCTAAAGTATACTCCAACATAGCCGATAACTACACTGAATGGTGGGCTAGTTTTTTGAATTCTGCCTCTGAGGAAATGGTGCAGTCTTTGGAACATACACAGACTGACTGAGCTGGTTGCAGAGGAGGAACACAAGTGTACATTGGAAGAGAAAAACTAAATTGTTTTCTTCCCTTGCTGGGCACGGGGGTGGAGAGGAGAGGAATGTTTGTGAGTTTTGCACCATTGATATTCAGGTGGAGCTATAGAAAACAATAAGTCATTTTGACATACCTGGCCTCGGTGAACCGCCACTGGAATTCTGAGAGGGTTTTCCGGCTACACTTAGACATTTTTATTCAGATGTCTTGGCATTGGCTGATCACTTGAGAGTGACATATGGTAGAAACACGCTCCGAGGGGCAAGTCTCCCGGATGGCACACAGTACCATGTAAGATAGACAGATGGCGGCTTATTCAACCTTGGAAAGTAGTTTAATCCTACATATTGGCAGAGATGGGTGCTGGGAGAGATGCCTGTGGAATATGAGGCAAAGTGGTAGTGGGTTTACTTGGAAACTGCTTAGTAAAGGCAACAGAGGAGTGAGGCCCTAGTATGGTGCCCAGCACCAAGTTACAGTGTGATGTACACAGTGGATGCTCAATAAATGTTGAGTGGGCATAATGATGATAAAGAATATCTGTGAAATTGAACTGGACAATGTCTGAAGCACCAAGTGGGAGGAAGATCTCTTAGAAGGGTGAGAGGCAGTGTATAGAAAATAAACACTGTAAGCTGCTTTGTAGCTAGAGTCACAAAACTTAGGTTCCCCAATCCTATTCTTTCTCAGTTATCCATCACTCATAGGACTGTATGAGTTTCCTTCTACAAAACAGGAAAATGCAGATTTCTATTGAGTTAAGACTGCCATTGGACCTCTTGTTCAGACTCTTAGTATCTCATTTTTGGAATGAGAAAAGTATTTACCGAAACTATTTTTCTTTCCAACAGGATAATCTGTATTTACAACATCACGCTGCCATCTTCCATTTGGGCCAATTTCAAGAATAAACACAAGCATGCATGCAATTTGTAAGGTGAGTAGATCTCAGTGGTTTTTTTCCCCCAATGCTTTTTTTGTGAAGGAAGGAATGCTGGAACTCTAGGGTTTTTTCCTTTTTGTTTAGTTTTTCTTGAAAAAAAAAGTTGTGCATGTCTCCAGATGTAAGAATTATCTTCTAATTTAGCTTTGCTCTTTGTTACTTTGATCTATAATTTCATTGGTATGAGTGCTCCCTCCACTGATGAAGACTGCAGTATCTATGCACCTCTTCATCTTGTGCAGTTCTTTTCTCTAATTTATGGAAAAACACAAATACTATGGGATTCTTTGATTCCCTCCCATGTTTTATATGTTGTTATTTTTGTAAGGGGATATGGATATACAAACATACACATTTTTATATTTCCCACAAATAAAGGAAAAAAATCAAGCTTCATGTTTACATTCTAGATACTGAGTATAATCTTTGTCAGTAGAAGCTAAGATATGAAAAAAAAAAGTTAAGGGTAATTAGCTAGGATTCTGAGTTTTTCATTGCAAGCAGGGTGGTGTAGTGGAAGACTCCCTGGACTGGGAGTCAGGAGATCCTGGTTCTAGTCCTAGCTGGGTCATTACCTGTATGACCATCAGCAAACGATTTCACTTATTTGGGACTCAGTTTCTTCATCTGTAAAATGAGGCTGAATTAGTAAATCTTCAAAGTCTCTTCTAATCTGAAATCCTGTTGTTCCAATTAAAAATTTTTTTTTTCAGCTTAGATGTTGCATCAAAAATTTGGTTCACTATATTGGAACATCTATGGTATGAACTATGGAAAGGTCAGAGGTTTTCTTCTTCATTTCATTTCTTATATATTTGACTAAGTGGGGGGGGCATTTGAGAGGGAGGTGAATTTGCAATTTTAGACCTTTGCTATTTGGCTTTGGCCCCTGGTTCTTTATATCATATTTTCAGTCTCTGCATATTTGCAGACCCCCAAGATTTGACTCTAGAGCCACCTCGAAGCAAGTGGCTGGCCAGCAAATAAAATACCTTTTGGTGAAGCACAGATGGTATAGTGGCAAAAACTCTGGAAGTATCTCTCAGTTAGCTCTTTGTGTAGCCAAACACTTAACCCAAAGGTTCCCAAACTTTCTTGGTTCATGGCACTTTTAGAGTCTCAGTGATTTTTTTCACAGTGCCCCTAGGCCAAAAGAAATGCCAAATAGTTCCATTTATTAATTAATATTAATTAATAAGTATTTATTTCCTAACAACTTAGTAACCATTTGAAAAAATAATATTCATGAACAAAGAATATATATTTTTTCATTCTTAACTACAATTGCCTAGTAATGGGAAATGTGTATCTGCTGGACACTATACAACTCAAACCTTGAAATCTGCTTAGATTCCACCAATCCTTTGCTTGGAGTCTGCTGGTCTCATTTCCTGTTCTATGTTGATTTGCACAGGGTACTTGCTTTTCATCATGAAACTGTCAAAAACTTAGCATCACAAAGATATGACATCCCAAATAAGAAGGTACTGGTGTAGCCCAAAGTATGTCTGACAGATGCTGAATATTTCTGTGTTTTCCTTGAAAATTTAAAATATCCTATTGTACCCTAGTGAGCTCACTTTAGTGTCCTGGAACACCCCTGGGCACAGTCTTCACAACTTCTTGTCTTAGTTGCCTCATCTGTAAAATAAGTATCACTTATCTACCTTGCAGGGTTGTTGGATGGGTCAGATGAGAAAATTTTCTATGTGAGCACTTGGGAAAATAGGAAGTTTTCCGAGGTTCTTTTTGCTCACTTTGCTAGGTAAATGTCTCATTGCTTAAGGCAAGCATATTTTATGAAAGCTCCCTGGAAGTTCTTCCAACATCTTCCCCTGGCCCTTTTTATGCAGGAATGCTGTTGGCCTTAAATTAAGAAATTGGTGATTCATGAAGGACTTATCTCATCCCTTGAGCTAGGCACAAGATCAGTTCAAATGGCCCTCCTATTTTGGGTACTTGCCTAAGTATAATAGAACCCTATGCTTCTGTGGATTGAGAATCCAGCATTAGCTAATAAGTGATCTTCTGAGGTCAGGATATTTCTTACATATTGCTGACTAGAAGCTGAGTTGGTATTCTTCCTTCCTCCTTCCTTCCTTCCTTCCTTCCTTCCTTCCTTCCTTCCTTCCTTCCTTCCTTCCTTCCTTTCTTTCTTTCTTTCTTTCTTTCTTCTTTCTTTCTTTCTTTCTTTCTTTCTTTCTTCTTTCTTTCTTCTTCCTTCCTTCCTTCCTTCCTTCCTTCCTTCCTTCCCTTCCTTCCTTTCTTTCTTTCTTTCTTTCTTTCTTTCTTCTTTCTTTCTTTCTTTCTTTCTTTCTTTCTTTCTTTTCTTTCTTCTTTCTTTCTTTCTTTCTTTCTTCTCTTCCTTCCTTCCTTTCTTTCCCTTCTTCCTTTCTTCCTTCTTCCCTTCTTCTTTCTTTCTTTCTTTCTTTCTTTCTTTTCTTTCTTTTTTCTTTCTTTCTTTTCTTTCTTCTTCTTTCTTTCTTTCCTCTCTCTCTCTCTCTTCTCTCTCTCTTCTTTCTTTCTCTCTCTTCCTTCCTTTCCCTTTCTTCTTTCTTCTTCTTCTTTCTTTCTTCTTTTCTTTCTTTCTTTCTTTCTTCTTTCTTTCTTTCTTTCTCTCCTTCTTCTCTCTCTCTCTCTTCTCTCTCTCTTCTCTCTCTCCCCTTCTCCCTTTCTTTCTTTCTTTCTTTCTTTTCTTTCTTTCTTTCTTTCTTTCTTTCTTTCTTTCTTTCTTTCTCTTCCTTCCTTTCTTTCCTTCCTTCCTTTCCTTCCTTCCTTCCTTCCTTCCTTCCTTCCTTCCTTCCTTCCTTCCTTCCTTCCTTCCTTCCTTCCTCTGACTGGACTCAGGAATCCAATTGGACTCAGGCCTGAAAATGTGGAGAGAGGTGAGAGGTGAGAAGGAAGGAGCTTTTTTTCCCACTTTTATAGGCTCCCAGGTCCAGTCTATTCAGGCCATGGGGGTTCATTTTGGGGCTTTACCTGGAGGGAATATCAGTGTTTTTTTTAAAAAGAGGTGTTGTTCATAATGCCCCTGTGAATGGTGAGGGTACATTTTTTTTAACTGTACATGCTGCTCACACTCTCCTGTCTCTGTTGATTCCTTGTCTTCTTTGCTTTGGTGATTACTGATCAATAACCCTAGTTCTTAGGTAGTTTGTTGTATCACCTACCAGCTTATAGTGAAGATAACCTGCCTTTATACAGTTGTGGAAAACAGTCCCTGGGATTCACTAGCAAAGGTGAAAGTGGGGGTATAGCTTATACAGCATTTCTTTCATTATCTCCTGAATAGTCACCCTTCCATTTGGGAAGCAGATGCTGATAGAACAGCCTTTTCGAGGTTGAGCAGGCAGGTTGTACATCAGTCACAAGAGAAAGTATGAATTCATGCAAATTGACAAGGTGATTGATATGGGCATTTAGAGTTGTGCACTAACTGCAGAAATGTGATTCCACAAGGAAAGTAGACCTTCTTGGCCCTTGGTCAAGCCTAGGACTAAGTTTTAATTCTTATTTTATGCCAGAGTCCTTAAATTGATTAAAGAGTCAACCCTGGGACTTCCCTTAGACTTCTTGAGATATTTATGTTCTTGAAGAGGGGAAAAGCCAAATGTCATTAGAAATGGGAGAAGTTCAGGAAGCACTTTAATCTTCTTTTCCAGGAGGGAAAATATGCTAGGCTAGATGGAGACATTAAGAGGAGACATACTTATCTTTCCTTTAATTTTCAGGAGCACAGAGGTTGTATTGAAAGAAATTCCTGAAGCATCTAACTTAGAGCTAAGGCTCAGTAAGTAGTAGCACTGGTGACGCAATCTTGGATGAGATTTATTGCAAAGTTACTCAATGGTAGAGAAAGATATTGGGATAGGAGTCATTAGTTCAAGTCTCTCACACTTGGTTTCCTGCCCTTTTCCTTCATCCGGAAGCAAGACTTCAAAACTTAGAGCTCTTTTGTTGTCATTATGAACAATAAAGGGTCAAATTGGGAAATCCCTGCTCTCTTTTCAGGTAGTCTGTTGAGAATTGAAATGGATTATGGGACTAGAGAGAGGTAGGAAATGTGTTCTAGTGTGAGCCTTAGAATCCCAAGGGCTGGGCTTTTTAAGCAATTAGAAAAATAACCTTAGACATGTGCAAGTTACTCCTCCCCACCCTAGCTTCCTGTCTTTGTGTTACATTTAAAGTTTTAAGGTAAAATCAAAGGAGATCAATAGTAGGAGAAGCTTTAACTTGGAGTGTATGTTCCTGCTGTCTATATTGATAAATACAGATAAAGTTTATTTATGCTATGTCTGTCTATAAAACTGTCCTTGACACTTTGTAGTAAAATAGATTAAATTGTTGAAATGTTATGAGATGAAAACAATTAAAGGTGTAGAATGACTAGTTCATTCCTCAGGCATCCCAATAAGGAGGAATGAAAGCCCACTTTAAAATGAGGTTCATTTAGAGGTTCCCCTCGAGAGCCTGTTGGTCTAGGCCTCTCAGGCAAAGGGTTCTACTCTAGAAGTTCAATATAGCAGAAAACTGGATCCACTCTTTTGGGTTTTAACACCTAACGTTAAGAAGTGAGTCGATCCTGTGGCAGGATGATGGAGTTTGTGGAGTGGGCATGATGTGGTTACATCATATTGCTGTAGATATCTTGAGATTCCAATAACTTCATCTGTTGTCAACTACTCATTGACTGCCTGTCTTCTGCCTTTCCCTCACTCCTACTTCCATCCATCTTTGGGGTTGTGGCATGTGAGACAGTCAGGGCTCTGTTTCTTGTCCCCGTTTTCCATTCTCTTGTTCTCCAGTGACAAGGAATGAAAGGGGAGCTAGGAATATAGATGTTTCTGGAGCACAGTTTCTCCAGAGCTTTAAGTTAAAGTAAAAAATCAAAGTTAACTCATGCACATGGAAAAAGGTACTAGGAAGGAATCTCAGCAGTTAGCACCGCTTTTCTTTTGCCCTTTCCTTTGTCCATTTTCTTCCTTTTCCCAGCTCATCTTTATCCTTTCCTTATCTTGTTCCCTTTTCTTTCCTTATGCCAGATGGAATTGTGGTGGGAATAATTTACTTTCTTTTATCTGTAAAGTACTTTATCTGTAAAATGGGGATAAGAATAGTACCTTCAAAGCAGGGTTGCTATGAAGATTAAGTGCAATGATGTGTATAGTACTTTGTAAGTCTTCAAGCACAATATAAACATTATCTATTATTATTGTTGTTATTCTATGATATGGTGTTAATATATAATGCAGCATTATTCTATGGTAATCTGGGCATCCACAGAACCTGAGGTGGGGTTGGAGTCTGTGGAGAGATTTTTTGGGGGGGGAGTCTGTGAATTTAGATTGGAAAAAATACATTTTTATTTGCATTAACCTTTAACTAAAATGGGCATTTCCTTCAATTATGAAAGTAAGCAATAAACATCATTCTGAGAAGGAACCCATGGCCTTAACTGTGTAGCCGAAGGGGACTGTGACACCAAAGAGGTTAAGGTCCCCTGGGCTTTGGTATATACTCCTTTATAAAAAAATAAAGCCATGCTCTATATTTTGGATTAGCTACCAGCCTCTTGTCCTCTTTGGCAGTGCCCCATTTCTTTACATGGATTCAAAGCTGAATTCAAGGCCACTTCCTATATGAGGCCTTTCCCCATAAGGCCCCCACTCCTCCCATCCTCCCCCTACCCCTGGCAGCTGCAAGATGCCTTCTCACCCTGAAATCACTCGGCCTTTACTTTGTATGTATTTTAAATATTTTAAAAAATATGTCTACATG